AAACTGGCCAGTGTCTGTTTCTCAACAGTTCATATAACAGCTATTAAGTGACCCCTAATTCTCTTCTCCAAGTCAAACAATCCCAAACCCTTAATCCTTTCCTTAAAGAGTGTGTTGTTCATTCTGTCGAATGTATTGTTAATCGTCTTTCTGCGCCTTTTGGATTTTCCGCAATGTTTTTCTTCTTAGATGAACACGATGGGGTCAATCATTAAAGAAGTCTGGAGAATTACTTCCCAGTCCTTGCATATTACTCTTAATTTAACACAGCCTGGTATCATGCTTACCAAAAACTAACACAGTGTCCCCTTAAGCTAGGTTTCCAMGGGGGCTTCCAGATCCTTCTCAGCTGTAATCATGCCTTGCCAGACGAAGACGAATCAGARTCAACTTAACTGGATCCGTTGGTCAGTGCTAAACCATTAATGACCATTGTCAACACCCCTGAGCAAAGTACTTCCTACCCTAGTGTGAGGAAAGACCAGGTAACCCAGGGATGTGTGCTGCTCACACCACATGTGTGTAAAACACAAGACATGACCCAAGAATCTTTCTCCTAGACTCTGTCTGAAAACTGAATTCTAGGTGACCTCAGATGTGAGCTCCTGAGCTCCTGGGGGTGGAGCTTGGAGAAATGGAGCAGATGTTTAACATGCGGATCCCAACTCCTCACTGACCCTTTTCAGAAAACATGGAGGTAACTAGGGGAACTTAGCAGTAGACTCCACTAAAAGGTACCCTGAGGTCTGAGATGTCACTGATTCTCTGGAAACATTTGGGTATCTTCTAGCAGTGCCTGAAAATCATGTCTTTGGTAATTTTGGGTATGGGTGCTTCCTCCTAGTACCCCTAGTTTATAGGCCACYCTTCAGGATCCTCCCTTGTTTGATTAGAAAGATTATTTCCATTCACTTGTGGGTCTGATGTCAGGGATCTTCTCTACCATCCAGGGAGCAAAATTTTTTCTTACAGACTGTTTTGGGAGGTGAAGTAAGTAGTTGTGAGATGTTTCATGACTGAAGATGACCACAAGAATCTGAGTTCTTGGGGAGAAACACCTCAGCCACATCTCAGCATCCATGGTYAACGGTGTCAGGAAGCATCATCATGGAGGCGCCAATAACTGCTGCACCTCCAGGGCTCCCCTCTGGGGCACCATCCACCACCTCCCGCAGATGCACTCCACTGTACCTTCACCCACAGGAGCCATTGCCTTTCACCATACTTAAAAACAACTTAAATTGCTAGAGATGAATGACACTTAATATCAGGTCCCCAGGGCGTCACGGCCATGTACGGCTGGATTACTCACAGATGCTTTGATAAACACTRCACTATTGTGGTTTGGGCTCAGCACTAGAAGAGCTGGTCGAGAGCTTTCTGAAATCTCATGAGGGGACTTTTGGTCTCTGAAACATTTTCTTAGAGGACTTACAACTGCAGACATGACTGATGACGACGAAATGCACCTCTAGCCCTTCCCCGGTGATGACACATTCTTCTCTTAAGGCTTAGATAATGCCCTAAATATGTACCACCACTGCCCCCAAATTAACAGTGTAATACTCTCTAAACCAATGATACGCCAAACTCTGCCCTGTGAACCAAATCCAGCCTGCTACTCATTTTGTAAAAAAAAAAAAAAAAAAAAAAGCTTTATTGAATCACAGCCACACTCATGTATATATTGTATATGGCTGTTTCCATACTACAACCCCAGAATTGGACAGTTGCAGAAGATGTCTGGCCTGCAAAGACTGAAATATTTACTATCTGGGTCTTTACAGAAAAATCTTGCCAATGCCCTTTATAAATCATAAGAAAAATGCATTGCTAATCAGAATAACCTTCCCCCCCCACCCTCCTGTGAGAAGAACAAGACAACCACCCTGATCCTCTGAAATAAGATGCATATAAGATGTGAAATAGTTCAAAGACACATTTATGTAACAAAGATCCTGGAGAAATCTCTATCTATATAGACATTCACATACAGATCTGTCTGAATCTGTGTGTGTGTGTTGTGTGTTGTGTGTGTGTGTGTGTGTGAGAGAGAGAGAGAGAGAGAGAGAGAGAGAAATCAAAGAAAGTTCTTAATTTGCTGGTTTGGAGATAGGATAAAATTCAAATTCAGTTCTAGTCACATGGAGTGATTTGGGGCTCTTAGAAAAAGTGGGCAGAAGGGGGCTGGGGTTGCAGCTCAGTGGTAGAGCACTTGCCTAGCTTGTGTGAGGCACTGGGTTCGATTCTCAGGACCACATGAAAAAATAAATAAAGGACCACCAACAACTAATAAAATATTTTTTAAAAAAAGAAAAAGTGGGTAGAAGGAAGATGATGTAATAGGTAACTGGTCAGCAATAAGAAGACAGTAAAATGAAAAACATCTATAGACAGTACAACTTCACCTAGTGTTTTAATGTGAAGATCTTTCGTGTGCATGCAGAGCAAAGGGATTGGATTCGGGGAGGGGGTTCTCCTGGAACCATATSCTGAATCTCTAATATGCACTAAATACTGACTTAGCTCCATCCAGAGACCAACCCAGTGCTCCATTTCCACCACCTAACAATTCTAAGTCAGGATACCACTGGGCTAAGATGAGGATCTGSTGTTATGAACGCCTTAGGCAAGGCATTCCAATCTAAACTTCAACCTTGCCCAGAAAAGTTGCCCTAAATYCATCAAAAAGTATCGGATATACAGTCATATTTGGCTTAGTGCACACAGAGTTGGCCTTTGGTGTTTGCTTTTAATTTATTGCTAACATTTTAAAATGGAGACATCTCATCAAAGTTTTTGTATGGTTAGCCTCTCTTGAAAAGCCAGAAGATACCCACTGCATTGGTGCCTGCCAGCGGCGTGGGAAACTGAGGCAGGAAAATCACCAGTTCCAAGCCAGCCTCAGCAACTTAGTGAGGTCCTCAGCAACTTAGCAAGACCCTGTCTCAAAATATAAAAATTACAAGGGCTGGGGATGTGGCTGAGTGGTTGAGCACCCCTGGGTTCAATCCCTGGTACCAACAAAAAAGTGCCAAAAGACCTGAGAAGGCTGCCCCCTTCAGAATACAGGTGCTCCCCGTCTCAACACAATCCCTGCCATTCCGGTCAGACCTGAGACTGAGCACCAAGGTCTCTCCTAGCACTGGTTATTTTCCTCACACCTGGCCTGCCTCACCTACTGAAGATACCTGTGCTGTAAAGCATCTGAATTTCAACCCCAGAGCTAACCCTTTACAGTGAYTCATGTGTTCAGATGATGGGGGAGAAGTGATTTCTTTTTTTCCGTCCCATGACCAGGCTCACGTGTACACTCTTCCCCTCCCTCTCCCTCTTGGCTAATGGCCATTTACAGACATTAAGCACACGTATGCTTAACCAACAATTCACCATCAGACATTTGAAAAAGGTCACCCTGCCTTCATGGACCKCCACTGGAGACAATTGATTATCCTGGGTCTCTTCTCCTCTCGGTTACTTACATCGATACAACAAGTCCATGGCATAACTTGATCCTAGAAGCAGCCCTAAGATAATAACCACAAAGAATACTTTCGTTGTGAGAAAAGAGGTGTAGGGAGAGGATGTTTACTTCTAGAATGCAGATTGGAGGGAAGATCTCAGATGAAATCACTTCTCTCCAAAAAAGATAGGTGACCTCTGACTTGARTCTAAAGTTTCAAATTTTGAGACCCCTGTCGGAAATAGGAGGTGCATGATAAATGTGTAAAACTTCCCTTTTACTCCAAGGGTCCGTCAGAGGAATGGATAAATAAAATATGGTTTATGCTTACGATGAAATATCGTTCAGCCTTAAACAGGAGGAAAATTTTGATACAGCTACAACACAGATAAACCCTGAAGATATGATGTGAGATGAARTGAGTGAGTGACGAAAGGACAAATGCTGTTATGATTTCACTCACGGAGGTACCTCGAGTGGCGTCAGATTCACAGGGACGGGAAGCAGATGGCAGTTTCCAGGTGCTGAGGGTGCAGGAAATGGAGTTTGTGTTTAATGAGTTCAGAGTTTCAGGTGGGGAAGAGAGAAGAGTTCCAGAGATGGATGGGGTGATGGTTACCCAACAAAGTCAATGTACTTCTGCCACAGAACTGTACACTGAAAACAGTGATAAAACAGTAAATATTATCTCATTTATATTTTATGACCCTAGGAAGGGGGAAACCCCTAAGGAGGACACCAGATTGGACGAAAAAAGCAACCTCCTTTTGACTGCTGGGGAAACTCATCGAGTCCATAATGACAGTCTGACAAGACATGCATTCTAAAGGAAGACAGAGAGCACTGGCAGCAGCCTTGCAAGGTCATATTCCATCTCTGCCTGGCCCCGTGGGGGTTGGCCATACTCAGAGGGAACGACCAGGCCTGACGTGCTGATCCATTTTATCTGACCTAGAGGATCTATCACACAAGGGTCCGTCTTCACATATAAGGAAAAGCCTGCCAGAGGAAGTCCAGCTTACAGCTGTACCCGGAGCACCTTGGAAGCCTTAACTTCCTGTCTCTCTTTCTAAGCACATGCTAAATCTTGTATTTTTATGCAATAACTATTCTTGGCACAGGTATAACACCAACATGAAACAGGTATGTTACGTTTATATACATAACCAGAACTTCAGTACACCTGGTGTGGCCATGGAGARGGTGATGATGGTAATTGTGATGGCAGATGGGTGACAGCAACTCTGGGCTCCAGGACCGGAGGCTGGCGCCAACCCTGGGCATGGTTCACTTTCCATGCCACCACCTGGCAGCCAAGCCATTGGCAACTGCAGTCCTAGGTWGTGCTTCTAAATAAGACAACAGGACTCCACAAACCTTGGGCATGCAAGTGAGCAGGATCCTTCCAGGGGTCCCTTCCACAGGGAGGTATGGAAGTGGAACTCCTGGAGGATGAGATGGGACAAGCAAAGTTTGCAGGAGCTATAGGAGCATTGGAAACAGACTTTTATTTAACAGAAACTTACACAAACTTCATACAAACCCTACATTATGCAAAGCTTTATCACAATTCTACACATGTGGTAACTTTGGGAGTTGGCTGGAGGGCAGATTAGTAGCATTTTGACAAGGGACATTTTCTCTGAGAAAATGTCACAGAAAAGGGCTCCCAAATGATACAAAGACGCTCTGGGTGATATCCACCCCACCCCAGGGACTGGCCTTGATGGGGAACCTGAATGAACTGGCAGGAAGTCGGTGCCTTCCCACCTTCCTCTTTCAAAGATAAAAGAGATTCTTAGGTTGGAGATCATCCTAGCCACACTGTGACCCAAGAACCTTTCCAATGAGAATATCCAGCGTTAGGTTGTAGGGAGGTGTCATGCCTCTGTTTACGAGTAAGGGGAACCCAAGAGTGTTAACGTGTCGAAGACCAGCCCAGTGGGGGGACTAAAGTGGACTCCAGTGGCCTACCAGTCCACCAGACTCCTTGGCTAGGCTGCAGACACTAGCCGAATTCCACTTCATGGGCCACATCGCTCACTTCCACACAGGACCTTAAAGGACATGTTAGAAGACTTGCCTTCCTCCTCAGCCACCACAAGCAACTGACTGAGGTTTCCACAATTTGGGTCGACCTTCCTAGCCCTTAGGGACAACTCTAGAATCTCAGGACCCTGAAGCCAGCCAGGGAGAAGATTCTTTCGGCCAACCCTCTTGAGGAATTGTGACTGAACTAATATCATCTCAGCTAATGCTTCGTTTCTTGCTGTTTTTTTTTTTTCCTTCACTGCATTATTTTAAACCAAGTTGTCTCTGTTCAAATCTGTTGAACTTGCAGAGAAAATATCCAATCACTGAACGGAATTCCTTTCTAAACCAGGCCTCGCTCGTCAGCTATGATAAGCAGGAGACGGTGGCTGTTTCTCCACCACCAGGTAAATGGGGCTGGCCTGGGGTAAGGGGCAGTGGGGCAGGGAAACTGCTGAATGGTGGCTAATTATTTCAGCCAAGCCTTAACACAAAATCATTTAACATCACCAACACTTTCAACAGACTTCTGAAGAAAAAGGGGGTGGAAACTGATCACTCCTCACTTACCACATCCAACTCGCAGAAATAAAAGTACCTAAAGACATACATGAATGGCTTTTTTTTTTTTAAAGCCTGAGAGAGCAGAGTTGATCTTTATTTTCTTATTTAAAATGTGGGGTATTTTCCTTAGAGTTAATAGGCAGTCTTTATTTTACAGTAAATATTCTTTTTGATTTCGTGTCTTCACAAAATTGCTTTTAACTTTTGATGTAGAACGTATTTAAACAAAAATACTGTGCACTGTCGGCACTTTTTTCTTTTAAATATTGAAATAAATAAAATAGTTAACTCTTTTTTTTTTTTCAGTTTGTTTGTGTTCAGTTATTTCTATTGCAGAGCAAATTCCAGTCTGACCTGGGTGCTTTCTCACAGACTCTCCAAGAAAAAGTTATGATGAATTTTTTTTAAAAAGAAAAAAAAAATCTTCTTATTGCACAAACTTAGGCCATTGCTGAGACTTCACTGAGCTGAGTTGTGCTGGAGGATTTTTCCACAATCCAGGCTCTGGTGTCGGCTGAAACACACGCACAGGAGGGGGCCGGGCAAGGGAAGAGGAAGAGGAGGAGGAGAAGGAGGAGATGATGATCGATCGTGGCGGCTTCTTTTCACCTTCTTCAGAAATGGCTTGCTTGAAGGATGCTGGAGTTCCCAGGCCAGAGTGTTGACTGCAGAGGGAAAGGGAATGAAAGATAAAACAAAAAACAACAGCACAGAACAACTACCTAAGAAAGAAAGATGACAATTAAGGGGTCAGCAAAAATGAAATGAATTGAAAAGAAAAACAAAGAAACAACAGTGATCACCGCGCTCACGAAGCTATGACCATGGGCAATGAAAACCAGGCTGGGCTCTCTGGTGCCTTGAATGTCAGGGGGCATGAAATCAACTGGGAACAGGGCAGGGCAGGTAACAGCAGGACCCAAGAGACGGAAAACACAACGGGATGTTCAATTCCTACGGAGGCAGAGCAGGGTGAAACTGGGTGTTCACAAAGAAAACAAAACAAAACAAACAAAAATTGTTCTCCTCTACTTGGAAGAAAACTGAATCTTTTCAAAGTTAAAACATCCCAGACAAGACTATTGTGATGTCATCTGCCTGTCAGTCAGCTACGTGAAAATACGTGGTTCTATGCTATAGGACCAACTGCACCCACAAAAAAAAAAAACCCAATTGATGTCCCATTTGGCCCAAGGCCAAAAGGACACTGCTTCACACACACAGACACATACTCATCTCCAGTCCTGGCCCAAGTAAACTGAGGGTGTCCCAATTACTAGCAGACAGGACCAAGCCAAGAGGTCGGTTCCTGTCCTCCACTGGCCTGTGGATCCCAAGCCTTAGAAGCTGGTGGCTCTTCAAACCAAGTGGGTCCATTAGCCTGGAGAGGTACCAGGCATCGACTGCTTTTAGCTGAAAGGGAAYCTGTTCAGTGGCTGTGGTCTTCGACACAGAGGAGTTGGTACAAGGAGTGGGCATTAAAAGGAAAGGATGCTAACATTTCACCCCAGTAGCAGTTCCTGAGGGCCAAGCTGGGTGCCCCCACAGAGCCCCATCACACTGAGCTCATTGGGAAAGGGCCTAAATGGAAAGTGGCCAAACCAGCAGGGAATAGAGTTCAAAACCAACGAGCAGCTCAGCATCCTCCAAGTTGAAATTTTCAAAAGACGCCTGCCACCAGCRTACTGCTCCCTGGCCAGGTGCACAGGCCTAGAGTAGGTACCCTTCCAAGGCCAAGACTCCATCCATCTACCCATGCTCTCAAAGGAAGGCTGAAAAGGACTCCACTTCCACCACCACCACCTTCTCCCTCCACATCTGCCCCTACTCCCTCCCTCTAMCCAGTTCCATCCCACCATCTCACCTCTCTGATCTGCAGTTCTGGTGCCTCTTCCCGGGTTTCTCCTCCCACACCCACACCCCTGTTAACTCCTCTTGACCATTGTCACCTGCCTCCCATCCCTTCACTTGAGAGAGAAACCAGTGTGGCCTTTCTTCTGCCTCGCAGAGAGTGCCTGCCAACTATCCTCTTAAGATTTCACCCCTGGCCACAAGCCTTTCTGTGCCTTCCCCAGTTCTCCAACCCTTTTGGTTGGATGTCACCTGCCACTTTGTTGGAGAGTCTCTCACCACCCTACCATCAGGCCCTTTCAGTTTTCACAAATTTCCACCTGGCCTCCCCCCAGCATTCACACTTACCAAAGCACACACACATGCACACTKACCAAAGCACACACACACATGCATACACACACTTTTCTTCCTTCGCCCCAGTTAAGCCACCTAGAAAACAGTTTGGTTAGTTGCCAACTTTGCACTCTTAATATCCACTTCTCTTTCATTGCTTCTGGCTTGGCCAACTGCAGGCCACAGGCAATGTCCTGCTGCGTCCTCAATCTCCTGTGCTTGGTCCCCTCCAAGGAGGCTCAGTTTTTCAACCATCCACTCACCATCCACCCTCCCCCACCCCTGTCTTCACATCCTCACATCACTTCCCTGACCCCTGGGTCTCATCTACCCACTCTGACCAATGATACCTGCATCTCTGTCAACAGTCTTTATTGACTATTCACTAGGTATAAAATGAGATTTATTAATACTGCCACTAATTAGCTCAGAAACATTACTTGGGACTCAGTCTATTTCAGCAAATAACTCTGGCACTGTGGTGTTGGGCACTATCCCAGGGACACAAGTGACATCACCTTTGCCTTCAAGAAGCACATCATGTATTAGAGGAGAAAGACTAACAGCCCGAACAAAATGCTACAGAATAATCCTTAAGCATGTCTGCATATTGTGATTTTTGCCATTTTTCATGGATCAAATTGTGATTTCCAGCTTTGCTTTTTGTTCAGCTCTATCTCATTCTCTCTGACAACAGATATTCTTGTCTATTAAACAGTGACTGTCAGTCAGAGCTCTTGGTTGATCTGGATAACTCCGTCAAAAAAAATCCCCTCACTACTGTGATTCACACAAAAATAATCACATATACTCCACAACAACACCTACCCATTAACTATCAGTGAATACCTAGACTGCCCGAGTAAATTTCAAATAAATCCATTGACCAATAAATCCATTGGACCATACTTAATTGCATCGTATTCTTTACAGGACTGAGTTGTCACACCCATATTCCTATTACTCAGTCTACAGTCACCAAAAGAACAAAGGTATATCTGAACAAAAATATTAGCATTCCAGGCCTGTTAGCACACTAGCCTGAAACCTCAGCTCAAAGGCTAAACGTCTGAACCACCACTAATGGGGTAAATCAGTCATGTACCTCCTGATATAATGCACTGGGAAGGATACGACACCATTTCTGTGATCGTCTTACCAAAAGTCACCATTTCATTTTAATCATTAGCAAACAGCACCCAAACCTAAAGTGAATAGCTTTCTGTGAAATGATCAGCCAAGATTCTTCAAAAAATATCAAGATTACAAGAAACAAAGACAGACTGGGGAACTCTTCCAAGGTAAAGGACTTTAAAAGGATAAGACAAATAAACGCAACATGTGATCCTGGATCGGAAAAAGGACATTAGTGAAACAACTGGCAGAACTTGAACAGGTCTACAGACTGTAGTGTGGTGTCAATGTTGATTTCCTGACTGTGGTCACAGTACTGTGGGGATTTGGAGAATCTGGGGGAAGGATACACAGAAATTCTTTGTTATTATTTTTGTAAGTATTCTGTAAGTATGCATTTATTTCAAAATTTAAAATGTTTAAAGTCTTAAATATTGGCTGAGGACCAGTGTTTAGATAATCTGAAAACCTACGGCCAATGTTGATAACTAATAATTCAGTCCTGACGGGGACCTTCCATCATCTCAGTTGTTCTGTAAATCAGTCAAGCAGAATGGTTTTTCCTATACTGTTATTTTGAGTAGATGGTCAGAAATCACTTTTATTAAGCACATTTGTGTCACATAAGTCAATGTTTCATGTGAGAAACACTTGGGCGTGTGTCCAAAACAGGGCCCCAAGTGTTTACTCCCTGCCACCTCACCACCCCCCACCTCACCACCCCCCACCTCACCACCAAGACACTGCCCTTCAGGAAGCTCAATCTTGGTTCTGTCAGAAAGTCCCTGAAGTCTCAGACCCAGCTGTGTTTCTGCAGGATTATACTCTGCAATGGGTTGGTTTTATTGTTCTGTTTTTGTTTGTGTTTTACAGAATCAAATACCTCCTCTTGACCCAAAAAGGTCTTAAACAAAAGACCTCAAAGCCCTTTACTGGTTTTACTCCAGAAATCTGTGAAATGTGACCTTTGGGGAAATTAGTATAGACTTAGGAAAGAAAATTAGAAGACGCAGACGCCAACTACTAACACTTGGAACTTTGGACCAAACACCTAACCTGACTGAACCTCRGTTTCCTCACCAGTAAAGTGGGAATAAATGACATCCATCCCACCTCAGAGCTGTTTCAAGATTCATTATGAGATAATAAAGATTATATACTATGACTGGGAAAGAGATGTCCACATGCTAAAAATAGGTAAACTGAGGCAGAGCCTCATGGCAACAAAACTAGACACCAGAGCTTCTCATTTCTACCCTAGGTTCTACTCACCAGATCAAAAATGCCTCACTCCAAAAACCAACCTAAGCAACTCCACTTCCAGCAGTAAACAAAATCCCCTGTGGAAAAATTCCTAATTCWTGAGTCTGCTCAAACTTTAAGTACATATTCAAGATCATATTCATCAGTTGCAACAGGAGGCAGATTGGGATAAAATTAATTAATTTTATTCCACCATGAAGTGAGAACCTCCAAACAGCCGTTAGTTCTTTCCCCGAGTAATGATCTTGTGTTCCCTCAAGTGCTATATAAAGGCCATATCAGGCTGCAGCCCATTAGGTGCATGGAGAGCAGGAAGACTTAAAGGGATACTATCGATGTGAACATCATATTTTTTATTAAATCCTGCTCTCTAAAATAGCAGCAGCAAATTGGATTACTGGCTTTAAAGTACCTTTAAAAAATTAAATGCATATTTCTCATCCCCCATGTTGTAGTGATTATAGTATCTGATCTCTACATAGTCTCAGTAACAGATACAAAGAATTAGATTATTCTGGATTAGAAAAAAACACCAGATAGTCACCTTTCACAGCAACAATAGCCACCTCTACATCAACAATTCCCCCTGGAGGATTTGAATGTTGTAACAAATTTAGAAAGTTTCATACCTTTGGTTCCCCTATATTTGGACAAGGACTCAAAAAATTAGTGACATTTCTGAAACATGCTGGAACTTTACTGAGCTAAGGTCAAAGGAAATGGGTCAGATTGTTTTCAACTTCATGATCCTAATTTCCTTTTGGTTTTAAAATTTGAATTGTGATCCTTATTTAACAAAAGCAACCACAAAAAGTTATGTGTGTCCATGGGTCACACAGCTCCTGCAATTCCTGAGGCGAAAATGAAAGGAGATCTCTTCGTCCCCAGGAGGCATTGGGAGAGAATATCCAGAAATGATGGTTTAGAAAATTAGGTATCTGGGATGGGGCTGTAGCTCATTGGTAAAGCACTTGCTTCACATATGTGAGGTACTGGGTTCAATCCTTAGCATCACATAAAAATAAATATATAGTGTGTCCATCTAAAACTAAAAAAAAAAATTAGAAAGGAAAGAAAATGAGTTATCTTTAATATTCTGCATAGAACCTTGATTAAAATTTTCTTTTCTAGGATCTAATAGTTTGTTTACTCTCTGGTGGTTGAAATTGCTTTTAAGAAGGTTGATGTTTCAAGCTATGCTCATTATAAATACTCTTTTTCTTAGCTGAAACTGAGCAAGGTACACATGAATGCACACACATATCTATTCCCTATCCAAAAACCATCCAAGTGTCCGCTAAACCAAGGTAGAATATATACATTCTAGGTTTCTGGGAATCAGAACCTAGCCCCTTACTGTGTGGAGGGGTCTTAGATATTCTTTTAACCTTATTACTAAGCCTCAGTGTCTTCATCTATAAAATGGGGATAATATAAACATTTATCTCAAAGGGTGATTATGAGGATTAAATGAACCATTCCAAGGAAAGTACCCAGAACAGTACTGAATGCATAAATATCGAGAGTTGTTATCTAGAGAAGGGGGTGGGGACAACATCAATCTCTGAGGCCCCTGAAAATCCAGGACTCCTCTGGCTTTTCTCTGAGTTTCCTTGCTTTGCCTTAAGACGTCTGCCTCCAAAGCAACATCCATTCCACTCTCTCAAGCTTAACTTGATCTTTCTCAACTAAAAAGTGAAAAATTTGAACTTGATCATCTTTTCTTCCAGTTCTTTTTTCTCATCTTGTCATTTTTCTTTCTTTCTTAAGAATATAAATTCTGAGTCTGTTGAGAGATGCTATAATCAAGGTGAGACAAGATGCTCAGGCAATGCTAAGCGACACTGCTATGCTCACGTTGGCTGAGAAAGGTGAGGATGTCTGCTATTCCCTACTAAGAGAAATCAGAATCAAGTTGTACTAGTAAAAATAAATTAGATAAGACCTATCCTCAAACATTTCCCTGGGAATTTGTCTTGTTAGACAGTTCTAAACCGTTGGCTCCCCCATTAGAACAACAAGTTTATAATGTGTTTTAATTATGTGGATCTTTTTTAAAATCTCAAGTTCAAAGCCAASTTGCCACTGATAATGCTAGGAGTGTGAACAACTAAACAGCTCTCAAATGAGAGTGTGGATTGAACATATACTTTTATTAACATGGAAGCTCACATTTCATCAGTCAGGCACATCATAAGGCTATGAATCCAACATCTAAGTCACAGGAATAAAGTACAGAGGTGGAAACTGACAGCAAGGCTAGCTGTATCCTCTTAGCAGAAACCTACCAGAGTCAACTATGTTGGCGTATTCACAGATGTGAGCATGCAGGAATATTACAACCGTGGAGGTTTAGGCCATGGCTCCCTAGGGACAGAACCACATACAGATTAGGCAGAACATCCCAAAAATGGGTGGGGTTGTTACTTTTGATCTCTCAAAACAGAACAAATGCCCAGGCAAGCATATACCCACTTGAAACAGGAGGAAAGTGGAAGCCCTCTCCGTGTTAGGCTACCAGGGAAGCACCAAAGTGTCCATKTGTGGGTCTGTCTGTTTGACCTGGCACTTGTTGGGTTGATTTGTTATTTTAAGGAGTGGTCTAATTCAGGAGGATCTGCAAAGGCTGGATCATCAAAGTAGATCTCCTCAGACACCGACAAGCAACCTGTTAACTGGGCAGCTACTTGGATCTCCCCACCCAAGTCAAATGGCACTGCCCATGTCTCACAGAGAACACCTGTCGTGGGAGCTCAAAAATCTTCAAAACGGCCCTGTTGTTTGTTGTGCCTAATCAAGGATCYTCTTTAATCTGGACTCATCCCCTGCGCAGTAAAACTGGGACCCAGAGCTAGAAAACCACCCAGACATGCAGGGCCCTGAAGCTGCACTCTTCATTCCTACCCAAGTCCAGCCACCAACTCCAGCCTCAGTGCCCTGAACTCCACTCTCACCACAGCCACGAGAGGCAGAGTCTGCCAAGCATTTCCCCAGCCACCTTCTCTTGCAGTTAAAGCCAGAAGCCCCCCATTCTCCACATACAGCCCCTCCCACACAGTCCAAGCAAGCTCAGCCCCACACCTGCACCCAGGCCGCAGAGTCCACATGCACACACAGACCACCAGGTGAAAGACACTCCAGGAGCCACTCCCACACTAAGAAGGGGGAACCCGGAAAAGCGAAAGAGCAAGCCAAGGGTCAAAAAGGAAAAAAGAAAGACAAAGAAAACTAAAAAATTAAAAATTAAAAAAACTATGATGGTTTTGCCCGGGTGGTAAGACAGATCAGCCAAGACGTACCTTTTGAGAAGGGCCTTGTAACTGGTCATGGTTGGGTTGGCCAATGAGGTGAACGGGTCTTCTCCATCCAGGCCTTGAGCAAGTGTTGCTTTGGTTTGTTTCAGGAGGTGCTATTGGAAACATAAAACAAAGTGCCTGGCAGGCACTATAAAAAAAAAATAGAAAGAATACAGGCGGCTGGATCATCCAATGAGCAGTTAACTGTTTTAAACAGGGGGAAGGGGAAGGGAGATATACTGTGAGGTGTCCTTCTTCCACGAGGGTGGCCTCAGGTCGCTTTGTCACTGCCGAGCCCATGACTTTTGCTTATATTCCATTCCTGCGTTTGGAAGTTGCTCTTCACCAGGAAGAAAGTGAGGGAAAGCCAGCATCACRGAAACGGCAGCTCTGCTGAACCAAGGAGGAGCCCAGGCGGCGGCTGCTGGTCAGGGCCGACGCTGGAGGGAGGCCAGGCGCCTGGTCTTCTCTGGGACTGCTGCCATTTTCCCCRCAAGCAGAGAGGAGGATGGAAAGGTCAAGGGAGGAGACATGGGGTGGGGGTCTGCCATGGGGRGCCACAGGCTCTGTGGGGCACAGGGAGGTGCCATCCTCTCCCATTGAGGAAACTCCCCCCAGCAGCTCGCTTCTAAACAGGGTATGACTGAGATGCCTTTGATTTCCCTTTTCTCACTCTCTCAAAAGAATAAAAAACAAAAAAAAAGTCCGACTCCAATAATAGCTAGCATCTATAAATAATAATTTTAATGTTATTGGCTCTTTGTTTCCAAACCTAGTGTTCCTCTTCTCTTCATCTTTACCAATAAATATGAAAACTGCGGAAATCAACTCTGCTCATGTCAAAAAGATCCCCTCCCCACCCCACCCCCCCAAAAAAGAGAGAAACCATCTAACTTCCTATTTCTAGGGAACATAAATCACACATCACGGTGCCATCGCTCTGAAGAACGCTCGCTCTGCTCTCTTGACTTTTTTTGTTTTGTTTTCAGTAGTTTGTGCTTCTGTTGTACACACCCAAAAACAGAGGGATGGCGAGGGGAAAGGACTCATGGAAGGTGGGAGGAAGAAGCAAAAGGATCAAGGGAAAAAAAACTAAGTCGTCTTTCATTTAAAAATATATATATATATATATATATCAGAACCAGAACAATGACCAGAGTCAGAGGGGGATGGCCAAGCGCCCAGTCCTCTCCGTGGGCTTTAGCAACTGCCCTTTTTATCTGCTGTGGGCGAGCCCCGGCCACTGCGGCGTCCTCGACAGGAGCGAGGCTCTTCCAAATCGTCCTCATCAAAGCCGTGGAAAGTTGAGGTGTCACTTTCTGACGTGGAACCGAATAAGTCCTCCGTGGTGCGTGCTGCGGCCGCTGCCTCCTTCTCCTTCCTGCCTTCTCCTCCCAAATGAGCTGACACGTATGATGAATATATCAGCACATGGGTTAAGCAACAGACAGCATTATTAATATTCTCATTACGTTATGACCATGTTACTCTTAATAGCAAGATAGTAAACCATTGTCACACCAAAAAAAAAAAAAAAGAATTAACYGGGTACATCACCTGCTGACGGGGATCTGGGACAAAGCACACGCTTCCAGGGAAGAGGATGCCCACCTCCCCCGAAAAGGCATCGTCCCTACCATCAGACACACGTCCACAGCTTCTGACAGCAGCGCCATCTCTCCCCTCCCGCACGCACACACGCGCGCACGCTCCCTCCACCCTGCCCCAGGCCACGATTTTTCTCCTGGTGGTTTTTTTAAGCCTGGTTGGTATTTCTTTGGTGTTTTCGGTTGATGTTTCTTGGAACAATGTTTGTCCGTCACTTTTGACAGTCAGCTTTACAAAGGTATTACTGTCAGATAACCCACGCAGTGTGGTTAATCCTCTGTCCGCTCTATTTTGATTTTCACCTGCTTCTAATCCCATTCTTTCRGAACCCTTTCAATTCTACCCTTACACCATGTAGTTCATTTGCACTGAAAGCAAAAAGAGGTTGGAAATTCCGATAAGCGGTAGGTAATAAAAACAGCTTCTCGTTTTCTTGAACCCCCTGGAAGAAATTCCTGGGATCCGTACCCATACTCAGGCACAGGAGCGCACACAAACCCACACGCTCCAGCCACTGAACATGCCCAGGTCTTAGTTGCTCCAGAAAGTTCAGATTGTGAGCTCTAAATCAGAACACTAAGAAGGTGAAAAGTAGGGGTAAATCAACGGCCTAATAGAACACAGTATCCTGGAATCTGCAAAACTCGTTTTGAAACTTCTTCACATTATTCTGGGTCCCAGGAATGCTCCGGATATGGTGGCAATGCCCCTCTTACAGTGCCAGTCTCAGGCATCCCACTTTCYCCCAGGAAACAGAAGTAGTGGGATAGGTGGGCAGGGAAAGGCAACTCCTCCAGGCTTCATACTCCTTCCCTGGGGAGGCTCCAGAGAAGTTCCAGCCCACCTGCCTTAACAGGCACGTCCCATGGGCTGACGCAGCCTTTGTATTCCCAAGGTATCAACTATTTCAGGAAAATCAGAGTCAGACCTTGACTAAATGATCCACCAAAATTAATCCTAGGCAATTGCAATGAGAATATCTAGGTTGTTATAAATGGTCCCCTGAGTCACGTAGCAGACAGAACTTGGGAACGAAAAACTGCATGAAGGTTGTGGAAAGAGAGGGCTTGGTGTGGATACAGTCAACTTCCCACCTCTGATGCCCCCCATGGATCCGATTCAAGTAACCCAATTTTTGTAGGAAAGAAAAGGGAGAAATGATAGCAGTTTGCAATGAGAGCTCTGAAGCTGCCCTCTCTAACCTGTCCAAACCTAGAGCAGTCCATAATATCCTGCTTAGAGCATTACTCCACCAAGTGACCTTGCTTCTGGCAGTAGAGATTTTGTCTGATTGCTTGCTCTCAGGAAAAAAAAAAAAAAAACAACAAAACACAGAGTTGAATTTTATTTTTTTTTCTTTTTAAGTGTCTAAAATCCAGAATAAACTATCACAGGGCCCTGTCTCTTAAGCTAGCATGAGTAGAATAAAAAATCCAACATATGGCATCGTATTTGGATCATAAATGAATTGACAGAATTGCATGAAAGRGCCACCCTGGMAGGCCCCCTGGGAGTTAAATGTTGAGGGTTGTGTGCAACAGAAACCAGTCCTTTTCCAATGACTGATTTGTCATTCAAGGCAATCTTGAGCCCTAAACAACCCAGACATCAAAATATAAAAGATCTAAAGCTAAGATTTGCAGACACAGCAAGGAGGAACTGAGTGGTAAACTAAGTCCTTCTCTTGGGACTGGGGGGTGGAAACAATTCTGGGTGGAAAGGTAGTAGGGAGAAATGACTCCCATGTTGAAACCAACCACCCACCCCAACTGCTTCACCTGCTAGGGAGCCATTGATAAGACTAAAGATGGTCTACGATCCTCTTTCCTCCCTACCTTGTGCATTAGTCTAGTTATGATATAAAACAATAGGAAAAATAGAGAGCACCAACCAACCATGATCAGCCCAAAATAATGGTTTGGGTTAAAACTGAAAATAAGAGCAAAGACCTGAACTCATTTTAAGAATGAAGGAATAAGACCAAAAGTCTCTTTCTGGTATTTTAGTCTTTGGTTAGGTTAAAGATAAAAACAAAACAACAACAACAACGAGGAAACCAATAACAACAACAAACACACATCAACTCTAGATCAGCCCCAAGATGCCTGCCCTTTTGCCTCCTTGATTTATAAGGGTTTATTTTTTCTATTCCATGAGAAAATGGGATGAGTGGCCAATGGAGGTGAAGTGTTTATGTAGCTACCCAGGAGCCCTTGAATCTCTGATTCCCGCGATTCATAAAGTGACTGCTTTCCCAAGGTTCATGTACCCGTCTCTCCAGGGTCATCCAGGTATTTCCACATAACAGACACATCTTTCTATGACATGTGCATCATCCGGTACAAGAAAGCACGTTGCCTGTGTCTCCAAGTATTCCACTCTACCTCGCCATCATCCATGACACAAAATAACGTCATGGAAAGTTTACATTCTCTTTCCTCATGGAAAAGCCRGACCCAAGTCAAAACTTCCTCCTTTCTCTTCTCCCCAGAACCAGAACATAACTTTTGGTTCTTAAGACCCAAAGAAGAAAAATTTCAAAATGACCTGAAACACCCCCCCCCTTGACTCAAAATCATCACCAGCATCACTTCTCTGCTGCCCTCTCCCACCCACCACCACCAACAGATGGCAGAGAAATGGAGATGGAAGAGTTCCTGATCTACGGGCACAGGATGCAGGAAGGGGCCGCACTCACCAGAGCGTCCACAGTCTGCACAGGACACCAGCTCTTCAGGCCGCCCGCTCTTCTTGTTCATGTTGGAACCCCCCAAGCAGAAGTCACAGTAGTTGTTGGGAATGACTGTCCCATCTGGTCCTTTCTGGGCTGTGGAAACATTGAAAAATTCCAATTTTAGGTTGAGATGTGTTCCTACTGTTCCCTCTTCCTCCCACAGTATGGTGGAATCTACTCCAGAAAGAATATGAAGTTTGGAATGTCAAGTTTTGTGACAACCCAGTTGTGATACTGGGTTAGGTGTTTGTTTTTTTTGTTTTGTTTTGTTTTGTTTTTTTTTATCTTTCTTGGTTCAATGGTACAAAGGCCTGCAAGTCTTCCAGAGTTGAATTTTCGCAATAGTTTCCAGTTCTATAGAAACCACCTTGCTCCTCTGGATGAAGAAACCATCCAGAAGGATGGTTAGTCAAGTGAACTTCTCTTAACCCTGAGCGACCAGTTTTCCAAGTCAAGGCCCCAAACATCAGGTGGAAACCATAAACACTCATGACTAGAGGAGGAGAAATGGTCAGTGCCTGGGCCTTGCTTTTGAGAAAGATGTTCTTACTTAGGAGAGATCCCTCCTGTCCCTGCAAAAGAAACATCAGCAGCTGGTCATTACCAGGAGGCAACTGGAGATGCTCTTGGGGACTTTGAGTAACATCTTGGCAGGTACACAGATATCTGTTCTTCTTCAGCTTCATCTCCCTGAAGCCCAGACTCATTGATCATAGAAGCACTCAGGACAAGCTAATCTGCAGACCCTAAATGCCTAGAATCACACTGGACACAGGTTTACCAGGTGCTAAGCTTAACCTCACACCAGGGATGGGCCAACGGGTGACTCAGTGAGCATGTGTTTAAGCCTCAGACCTTCACACGTAACTGGAAGTCCTTAAATAAAAGCAAAAAAAAAAAAAAATCATGGGATATGACCTAGAAAACAAAACTYCATGAGAACCTCACGGCTTTGCGGACAGAAATCATTCTCAATTTCTAGGAACTGGTTGAAAAGTCTTGGGCAGGTTTTTTACATGAGAGAAATGCTTCAATTTTCCTCTATTTCTCTCTTCCTATTGGGGGGATTTCTTTATCATATTCACACTCTCTATTTTGCAACTAAGAAGAAAAGTCAGCCTCCCTCCCTNTCTCTCTCTCTCTCTCTCTCTCTCTCTCTCTCTCTCTCTCTCTCTCTCTCTCCTCTTTGTGGGATCAGCCTTAACCACAAGGTATCTTCCCCCTCGGTATCCCCAATGTCTGCTGCTATCTTCATTATTCACTGGCTAGCATTAATCAGGGTCCCGTAGGGTACAAATCAGTAAAAGGAAGAAGATATGTGAGCAGAAATACCAGCCAGACAGTAAGTGATAAACGGATTCACCCGCTTTAATATGATTCCCTCTGGCCTTCACTTCGTCTGTGCCTCTGCTTTGCCTCCAGGAATAGAAAACTTACCTGGGGAAGGCAGAAGACAAAAGCTAGCAGAATTATATTACAGAGRGTTAATCCATTTATCAGTTGCTATTTGGATGGTTTAATCAGTTTCTAAGTCATTGATTTCCATCTTCTGGGCGGCAGACAATTCTCTGCTAGGAAAGTGTTGGCCTTTGCGGGAGGCAGAGGAGTTGGTTGCCCTCTGTGGTCTGTTGAGTATGGGCTTTTCCCTCAGCCACTGGATCTCTAAGACATCCACATGGCAWTCTGAATGGTTTTGCAAATAAGCTCCAAAATCCAGTACATCTGCAAAAATTTTACTCTGCCTATAAAATGTGCTTGGCCCAAATCCAGAAGTACCAGCATCCTTTTCTTCTTTCCCCTTCAATTCCATCTTTCCATTTTTAGAACTCTCCTAAGAAAATCCAAGAATGTCTAGGAAACAAATCAACTTTTCTTTTTCTCATCAAGAAATAGATGGAAATCCATCAAGTGGTAAACATAAATTGAGGTAGGGCATATAACATGTAAGGGCCAAGGATACATCAAAGATGAGTTTCATGATGGATATGAACTGGATACAAAATGTACAAATGCCAATCACAGCTTAGGTAACTTCCTATAGAAAGGCAGTCAAAGAATCCAATGTATTATTATCCCCCCCCCMAAAAAAAACCAACTCTCAAAAGGCCCAATCTCCTCATCTGTCTTTCTTATAATCTTAAGAACTTCCCATAAATGTCAGATTTCCTCCCCATTTACAAAATCTTTAAGCAACCAGACAATCTGATTGTCTCCAACACACTGTATCCCCTGTGATATATGAGGATAAAGAAGTAAAATATAGAGTATAAGAACTTACAGATTATTCTTTACAGTGTTTGCTACTAACAGATCACTGGTAGAATACCCTACTGAATCAAGAACTCCAATGCTGTAAGAAATTTTTTAAAAATCAGAATGACCTAATAGAGCAAAGCAGATAGTGATGGAGGGAATGATCCTATATAAAAAGACCAAAGCAACTGAATTTAATTCATCTAAAGAGAAGTTTCCAATGAGTTGGAGTCAGAGCAAAGTCCCCATATATGTATTTATGTATGCATGTGTGTGTGTGTGTGTGTGTGTGTGTGTGTTGTCTGTTAGTCATACAAAGTACCTGTTCAAGAGAGGGAGAGAGGTGCTAAAATCTCACTCCAAGGCCCTGGTGTATACCAGCCAGCAGGGATAAGGTGTGCATTTTTGGTCCTCTAATGAGTCCAATATAGAAAGTGACAGTGAACAGCTATGCTTTATTTTCAAACAAATCCCTTTTGCTTCCGTTCCTACTCTCTTCTTGCAACACTGAGCCCAAAGCATCCTTCATGGTGAAATGGCACGGGACAGACTAATRCCTTAAGCTTCTGGTTTGCTTCCATTTTTTAGTATTTAAGATTGGTTTCAGAGTGAGGCTTCTCCCATGGAGCTCTCCCAATTCCCAGCTAGAAATGACCAGTCACGAACTGGGGAGGGCATTCTGTTGGCATCACCATTGTGACCCTTCTCCTGTTGATTTATGTGCACACCCACCTCATCTCCTCATGCTAAATGATCTACTCCTTCAGGTCCAGGACCATGTGTAACTCATTGCTGGAGCATCTACGTGCCTTGCACACCAGAAAGAGTTGACAGCAATCTGTGGGATGAATGGCTTAGAAGGGGATGGCAGAGATGTAAACAGGTGTCACTGTGATTCCCCTGGGATCTCCTCCTTATGGGGACATAGCACTGTGTTTGCTTTCCCTGTGGCAGAGTTATCTATCCCTCTGAATATCACTCACTGCCCTTGGTTTATTTCCCAACTCCTCAAAGAAAAGTACTAATCTGTATCATCCAAATGGATGGGTGGGTCATTTGACTTGGACTAATGGCAGCCAGCTCCCCAACTACAGGGCCCTAAGGGCCCTGTGTTGCTGGAAGAATAACACTGTACACAATCACACAGGAAAATATAAGGCCATAATTCACTGACCCTTGAGAAGTGGATGCCAAGTCACACCTACCCAGTCAGCCTCCCTTTTGCTCAACTGCTTACTGAGAAGAAAAAGAAGCAATTTAGTACACTACAAAACTGAGGTGGAGCTTACACTGGATGCTTTACATACACTATTTCATTGATTCTTGCAGAGTCTTTGTAAAGTAGGATTATTTAACAGATGAGATAACTGAAATCCAAAGAAACCGAGGTGCTGGCTCCAGATCCCAGTTACAAAGAAGAGAAAAGCAGGGTGCAACCCCAGGTTGTCTGTGTCCCAAGATCCTGGGTCTAATCTTACTCCCCTGCCTCCTGGGAAGTCTAGAGGCAAACACTTCCTAGCCATACCCTGCATATCAAGTATTTCATAAATKYCTTTAGTGTCAACTTGATTCACCCCATATGTTATTTACGAAGCCCAAAGCCATAAAAATTATTGAGATTGGCCTGATAAAAGCAGGAATTCCTTTTGAACTTAAATTTAACGTTCCTACCACAGTAATCCATCCTGGGTGACCCTGTTTATTGTCATATACTCTGTGMAAACACTTCTCTAGAGGATTCCAGAGGCTCATGAAGGGATGTTTTTAAGACAAGCCCACACCACGGCCAGATTGGCCTATGGCCCGACCCAGCCRTGAGCAATTTCCTGGTAGTGTATATGAGATCATTATAAAAAGGATTTTACTATAAATAGGRAGCTCACCCAAACCTTGCAAGTGGGATTTAAATAGAGATTCTGCTTCTGCTGATGGGAAATTGAGTCTCACTTTATAGAATAAGATGACAGGGAGGGTCAAGACCTGGGGTATCTTGATGGCAGTGTCCACAGYGATGGATTTGGCTTATTCTTGATTAATGTTCATGGGTTGAGATCATAGAAGAAATGCAAGCAAACTGTGGAGAAAATAAAGTGGGCCTTAAAGGTTTAGGAATTTACCTGAGGGTGGTAACTCTCAAGAAGCTCAAAGTTAAAAATTAAGATGGGAAATCAGGGGCAAAGTTCATAAAGAAATGCAGGAAAAAATAACATAGGCAAGAGGGAGTATTGACATAACTCAATGCAAAAAAAAAAGAAAGAAAGAAAGAAAAGAAAAAGAAAGGAAAGCTAAGCCTCAAGCCTTTCACCAGGCTCAGGCMAGAGAGTGCAGGCATCGTAAAAGGGCATGAGTGCACACTCTCAGGTTTTCTAGCTCAATCAGGATTTGTATCGATAGCAAAAAGTCCCCAAATCGTCCATCAAATGATCACACAGACAGCGCTGTCTTTCCCACTTTCAGTCCAATCTCTGCTGCCACTCATGAAAGCAATTAATGGTGGGGACAGTCTGGCCACCAGCAACAGCCCCTCACCTGGGTTCTGTGGAGACTAGAGCTGCATCCCAGGAGTCCTGGGGAAAAGGAAGCAGGCCAGAAGTCGACGCTCCTCCTTGGCACATACACAGAGGCATGGCCTCACACTCTGAGCAGATGCTTGGACTGCCTGCCAGGGCCTGGTGTGCACAAGCCTGCGACCATGCTCAGCATCCGCCCGCCCGCCAGCCCCAGGTCCGCAGCTATTTCTCTGGGGCCTGCTAGATGGGGGCGTGCGGCCTTTGGGGAATTCAGAGGCCACGAGTAGAGCCTTCCAGAAAGAGATGTGCCTCTCTTCACCCCTCTGAATT